GAGGTTGATGTTGGTGTGCTGGTTGAGGTTGTTGTTGGTGTGCTGGTTGAGGTTGTTGGTGGTGTGCTGGTTGAGGTTGTTGTTGGTGAGCGGGTTGAGGTTGATGTTGTTGTGCTGGTTGATGTTGTTGTTGGTGAGCTGGTTGAGGTTGATGTTGGTGTGCTGGATGAGGTTGTTGTTGGTGTGCTGGTTGAGGTTGATGTTGGTGTGCTGGTTGAGGTTGTTGTTGGTGAGCTGGCTGAGGTTGATGTTGGTGTGCTGGTTGAGGTTGTTGTTGGTGTGCTGGTTGATGTTGTTGATGGTGTGCTGGTTGAGGTTGATGTCGGTGTGCTGGTTGAGGTTGATGTTGGTGTGTGGTTTGAGGTTGTTACTGGGGCGTTTGCTGGGATTGTTGGGATTCTAGTTGAAATTGAGTTTGCTGTCAATGGAGCGTTAGTTGGGATTCTTCCTCGGGAGCTCACTGATGATCTTGTTGGCATATTTGTTGATATTGTTGATGTTTTTAGGGTGCTGGTTGAGGACGAGGATGCACTTGGGTTAACAGTTGAGGTTGTTGTTGTGGTGCTAGTCAATGTCTGGGTTGCTGCTGGGGTGTTGGTTGAGGTTGTTGTTGCTGTGCTCATTGAAGATGTTGTTGGTGTCGTGGAAAAGGTAGTTGTTAGTGTGCTGGTTAAGGATGTTGTTTCTGTGCTGGTTGAGGTTGGTGTTGGTGTGCTGGTTGAGGTTGTTGTTGGTGTGCTGGTTGAGGTTGTTGGTGGTGTGCTGGTTGAGGTTGTTGGTGGTGTGCGGGTTGAGGTTGTTGTTGGTGTGCGGGTTGAGGTTGATGTTGGTGTGCTGGTTGTGGTTGTTGTTGGTGTGTTGGTTGAGGTTGATGTTGCTGTGCTGGTTGAGGTTGTTGTTGGTGTGTTGGTTGAGGTTGTTGTTGGTGTGCTGGTTGGGGTTGTTGTCGGTGTGCTGGATGCGGTTGATGTTGGTGTGTTGGTTGAGGTTGATATTGGTGAGCTGGTTGAGGTTGTTGTTGGTGTGCTGGTTGAGGTTGTTGTTGGTGTGCTGGTT